TTTATATTTAGTTAATCATGTTTTATTTATGTTTTCAAACTCATATTTGAAAGGTTTAATAATTTTTTAATATAACCCAAACTTCACCTCGTAGTGCAAGAGCAAAAAATTTTGCCAAAGGCCTGTGGGCACCTGTTGATGTGTGTCGAGATGAGTAATAAATAGTAAAAGGCAAGAAAGGAAAATGAAGCATTAAAAATAAACTATAAGCAAAAAAGGGAAAGATATGAAATTATGCAGTTAACCCAAATAAGATATTTTAAGATTATTCGACAAAGAGTTAAAAGGTATGTACATATTTCCATTTCTTTATTTTAAATATTTCATTACACTATACATTGATGATAATAGTTAATTAGTGAAATGGCAGAGAAAATAAAATAAACATTTACCATTACAAAAAAAACAAACTTTGATGTTCATTTAGGAGGTTCAAGAAGTTATGCACATGAAATTTTAAAACTGTAAGATAAAAAAAAAGTACTTTTATACTTGACATGAAAATCACCTTGATCTTGAACTATTGGAGTCTGAGTGCAAATAGCTACAATAAATAATGAATATTTAGTAGAAAAAAACAAATTTAACTTAAATATTTTTCTGAAAGTACATACCTTTAGGAAAGTTCTTTTCAAATATAAAACAATTTCATCCACTAGTTTTATTTTTGGAACAAAGTATTATGAGAGTTATGTTACATCTTCATGATGTAAGGCTTGGTAACCAAAGGGTTAAATTATGAATTAAAACACTGAAAAATTGTTGTATTGGATACAGGAGCTAGTTGTTTATAGTGTCTACTGTGTAAGCAGAGTTCTGGGATCAAATCCAGTCCAGCCTCAGATTTCACCTTCAAAAAAAATTTTGATTTCACGAGGTAGTATGTCTAAAGCTAAAAATAAATAGTTATGTTCTAAGTGCAGAGAAAATGGTTAAACTATTGATTCCAGTTAGTATTGGTATAATTTGTGAAGGTAGACATAAACTTAGATTTAGGAAAAAACTAAGACACCAACTATGTTTTATTTGTGCAACAAATATACATGAGCATGAGAAATTACAATAAAATATAACAGCCTACAAATTAAGGCATCAACTACAATATGGTAGTGTAACAAATTTTGTAATAAAAAGCCAATCCTAATCCAAAACACTTAACTACAAGTTGGTAGAGTAACAAATGACAGCCTTAAACTAAGACATCAGATACAACTTGATAGTGTAACAAGTACGATAAAAAAAAATGACAGCCCTAAATTTAGACATTAACTACAACTTGGTAGTGTAACAAAGAACATTCCTAACTAGGCCATCAACTACATCTGGGTAGGATAATAAACAGTGTTTGAAGTAGACTGTAAGCTTCTACAAAAGGGAAAGTTGCAATCAGTATTTATGGCGGCTAAGGAATAGGGAGAAAAACAATTTTTTTTTCTTAAAATGTGGTGTAATAGCTAGGGAAGAACGAGATAAAGTAGTGCACTGATGGAATGAAAGAATTGTCTTGCTACGAGTTAGGCCAGCTAACTGAGTTTGTAACCACAAAGTAAACATCAGAGTTTCCATACTATAACTCATAACAGTATACATCTGTTTATAAGTAATTTTGTTGTTTTATTGCCCCTAAAACACAAGCTGTAAGTCACTCAGTGAATGTGAAGCTCACATTACTGTATCAAATTACATAATGTACAAGCTGCTCACAAGTATACATCATGAAGAATTTTTTTTATTATCTTACCAAATCTAACCTAATAAGTTTGTAATTTTTACATTTTATATTTTTTTAATAAGAAATACACAAATATCTTACTCAGCTTCAGGAATTTCACAAACCATCCTGCTTCCTCTTTCCTCCACTTCAAGCACTGGAATTACATATGGTAATAATTGAAAACTCTAAACTTAGATGATAACTACAACTTGGTAGTGTAACAAATATGGTAACAAATGACAGTCTTAAACTAAGTCATCAACTACAACTTGGTATTGTAACAGTTATGGTAACGAATGACAGCCAGAAACTTAATTAAATGTTACTAGTGTAACAAATGACAGCCCTAAATTATGTCATCAACTACAACTTGGTAGTATAAGAGATATGATAACAAAAGATAGCCCCAAACTAAGACATTAACTATAACTTGAAATAGGATATCACACACAAAAAAGACAGCCCAAAAAGCTAGAACATCTACAATGTGGTGGTAGTGTAAGAAATATACAATACCATAAAAAATGAGATAAAAAAATAGTAACCAAAATTTATGATTATAAAAGCCACCTGTCATTGTTTTTAATCTGTATTATATCTAGAGATTGTAAGTATTTACTGTTTTCTCTTGTGGAGTTTAAAATTCCAGAAACGTTTTATACTCCTTGATACAGGACTTTGGAAAAGTAAGTATAGGAAATTAAGAAGTCTTATTTGAAAATCATGTACATTTGTTGTAATAAGGACTTCATGATATTTGCACTTATTCTTTGTTATGTTAAACCATAAAAAAAATACTAAAATGTGATTATTTGTGTTATTAAAACATTTTATAGCTATTTGCAAAGATCTTTGTACCCCTTAAAAAAAAACGCTTTTAAAATGTTATTTGTGTATCAGAAACTATGACATAATAACTGATTATCTCACAAAATGGATCTTGTTAGGAAGAAAAGTTATTCAAGTGGTTCTTTTTTGCAGCTCCTGAACAAAATAATCTTAAATCAAGTGCCTTTGACAAAATTATTAAACCAGAAGATGAAAAAACGTTGGTAAGAAATTTTTCTAATTTTTTATCATGTTTTTTATATATATATAAATAGATATATATAAAAGTTTTTATGACCTAAAATCTGCAGTTGTTAGTAATAATTTATTTTTTATTTCAGCTCCAACTTTTTGTTTCTGTCATATTAATTTGGTGCCCTTTGGCTTAAAATTTACTTCTCTTCTTTGGAATTTTTATTTATTTTTATTAAGAATGATTGAGATATATATATTTTTTGAGTATTATATTTTTAAGCTGCAACTTTGGTTAAAATGACCAAAACCACAGAAGAAACAATTATAAATAATGCAGTCAATTTATAAAAAGGCATTTTTTTTTATCGTGAGTATAAATCTCTCAATGAAAACTTGATGGCTGATTCTACAGAGAACGGTTTATTGTTGTTCTCAGTACTCCAACATTTGAGGGTTTTGGTTGGTGACTAAGAATATTGTATTAAAAGTAACAAAATATTCTGCAGAATGTGGTGTATTGGTGTTCTCTTTATTCCAACACTTGAGGGTCTGTTGGTAGCCTAGGAGAATCTATAAAAAGTAACAAAATATTCTGCAGAATGTGGTGTATTGGTGTTCTCTTTATTCCAACACTTGAGGGTCTGTTGGTAGCCTAGGAGAATCTATAAAAAGTAACAAAATGTTCCACAGAATGTGGTGTATTGGTGTTCTCTTTATTCCAACACTTGAGGGTCTGTTGGTAGCCTAGGAGAATCTATAAAAAGTAACAAAATGTTCCACAGAAAGTGGTGTATTGGTGTTCTCTTTATTCCAACACTTGAGGGTCTGTTGGTAGCCTAGGAGAATCTATAAAAAGTAACAAAATGTTCCACAGAAAGTGGTGTATTGGTGTTCTCTTTATTCCAACACTTGAGGGTCTGTTGGTAGCCTAGGAGAA